GTAAGTTCATGACATAAAAATCAATTTACTTTTATTAATGTAAGAATAATTAATAAATTGAAAAATACAAATTAAAATTTATCAGTTTTTTTATCATCACTTGTCATCATTTTGTAAGTTTTCATATTTAATTTTTGTATTCTCTCTATAATATTTACATATTAAAAGATAATTTTTTTAGAAATTTTTAATATAATGGCAAGAAGACTACATACTTTTTCATTCAAAAAGTAAATAATAATTTGTAATGTCTAATTAAAATACTGGTAATATTCGAGTAAATTATTGCGGATATGCCGTTGTATCTGTTCTTATTTATTTCTTGTTTATTTATTCTTATTATCATCGATTCGCAAATTAAACACGTCCTATGCATAATAAATGATAATTTTCGAGTTATATCCTTTTGTGAAAAAGAATTGCCCTTCTGAATCCTTAGGACGCAATTTAGGACTGAATCCTCGGGTTCTATCGCGACTCACTTCCGGTATCAAGGCCGAGGACACCCTCCTGAACGTACGTCATCACGTAATGCCGGAAATTCGTCGTCCGCGAGTTAATTACGTCATGCGAGACTATTAATGCTTCAACAGATCCGACGTGCGCGTTGTATGTACAACAATGGTCTCGGCTATTTAGGCCCTTCTCGTACATTACGTCACCACGTGCCAACCCTCGTTACTCGGGGTGCCGTGCGATAATTAAGATCGTCGCCGCTGGAGCGTTAAAGCAGGAGCAGCAGCAACATTGCTGGTTGATAATACTTCGGAAAGGTCTTATCACCCACCTATCCTTTTCCAGTCCCAACACCGGAAGGTTTCTGCGAAGATTTATGCCGAAGAACACTGCTTACCTTCCGAGATGAGTGCAGATTGGATGTGCTATAATTAACACATAAATATACACATAAATATATTTTCTGAATATCAAAATTATTGGAACTTGAAAATTCTTGATGAATAAAGACAAAATGCCAAGATCTTTTACAACAAATAAAGTTTCAAGTAATTAGTTCACTAACATTATATGCGTCTAATTGTCTCTCTAACAAAAAAGTGAAAAAAAGAGCTTAATTAGATTGCATATACAATTTATTTCAAATGTAAGAGTGTAGTAGAATAATGCTAATATAAACAAAGACATATATATATATGCTAAATATATATATATATATATATATATATATATA